GAGGAAATTCCACTGATGGACCGGAAAACTCCACCCGTTCACTGGACATGCAGGAAGAAACGATGAGATGATTCTGTAATACCCGTGGCGCCAAATATGCAAACAACATACGGGCATGCAGGAGGCTACCTACCTCCCTCCGTACATAGATATGTGCAATGCATCATCATCCGCCGTCGTCGTCGTCGTTGGTGCAGTTCAGTGCATATCGCATTGTGCGAGGTGGTGTGCAATGTGTGAGGAAAGAGAACGCGTCTACGGCGAATTCAGGTCGTGATTCGATGCGAGGTGTTTTGAATGCATGAGCAGTAACGATGAGTTTAAGAGAATGTGGCTCCGGGAGGGTGGGTATGAGACACGTGCTGTAGTTTGATGGAGGGATTTTTTTAAATCTCAAGTTTGCCTTGCAATTTGCAGTTGAATAAGTTGAGTCAAATATTAAATAGCCAAATTTTAAGATATGTAAGGGAAATGGATGTAATGTCGGCCTAAATGCTCCTAGTTTGGGCCCATACATACATTCAGCTATCGACTAAATTTTCAATAGTGACCAAAAATATCCATTAGAATCGTCTCAATGACGCGTTCATCTAGATAAAATTGATAAATAACAGAGTTTTAGCTATGGGTCCAATCTTAGATCCATAGGCCAACATTAGAGCCATTTCCCCTATCATGATTTTTAATGATTTTTTTCACGTCTCAGAAATCACGATTTTTTCGATGCAATATAAGATGCAATCATCAAAAGTAGGTTATCATAATAATCATTTACATTCATTTCGTACATTCATTTACATTCATTTGCCTCTAACTTTTTTCAACAACAGAATTTCTTAAAATGGCATGCCTTTGTAGGTTTTAATATTAACTACAATATTTACAATATTTGGAATAATTCAAATCTGTATCTCTTATACATGATGCACTAGAGCGAACAGAACTCACCATTGCTTTTACATTCACATCCACTGGAAAACAATAACAAGTTCTGCCCACTCTGGTTCGTCAGGCATAAGAGATGTAGATTTGAATCACCGACAAAAGTTGTAGCTAACATTAAAACCTACAAAAGCTTCATATATCATTAAACGAAATTCTGTTGTTGAAAAAAATTAGAGGCAAATGAATGTAAATGAATGCACGAAATGAAAGTAAATGATTTTCCATGCCTGGCTACAAGATAAGCTACGCATCACTCATGGTGCTTTTCGCAGAGCTGATCATCGACAATATTTTCATCTCTCATTCTTCAACGATTCTCTCGATCCTCTTCCATTCAAACTGTGAAAATGTCACTCTCGAAATATCGGTCCGAGCAGGAGTGTCGAAAATAAGTGTTTAAGCCGAATGTGATGTTGACAGGTAGCGATGACATCGCTGTTAACACATGAGGCGATGTGAATTTGTCGTCTGTTTGCTCTCCTGGATGACGAAGTTTGGCATGGTTTAATGTCACACTCAGTCAACCATTTAAACAGGGGAATAACACAAAATACGACAAATTCACATCGCCTCAAATGTTTACATCGCATTGATTTGAGCCAACATAACCCTCCGTTACTCGCGCTGTTGTACTTTGTACCACAAACATGAGTTTTCCATTGCCATTTCGTTGTTGAGTTACCAATCGATCTGAAACCAACGAGTATTACTTAAAAAAAACTTTTTTTTTGATCAAAGCAAGCTAAATTTTGATTACAGTAAAGACCTAAAAAATGCGGATAATAGGGAAAATGTAAATGGAAACCGCGTAAACTGTGGCCATACTACGTGGGATTTGACTTCATTGATTTCAACATGGAATATATCGAGATCCTGACCAGATAGAAAGTTACTGTCTCCGACAAAGTTGTTCAGGAGCCTTAACGCTGGCGCACAGTAGTTCTGATTTTTCTCACTACGTAGCGCTGGTATACGTGTGGAATTCTCGCATGTTATATATCTCGAGATCCTGACCAGATAGAAAGTTACTGTCTTTCACAAAGTTTTTCAGAAGGTCAAAGCCCATTGCTTGGTGCTGAATAGTTCAGAATTTGCTCACTACACGACGCTAGTATACACGTGAAATTCTCATATTTAATATCTCCAGTTCCCAACCAGATAGAAAGGTACTGTTTTCAGCATAGTTGTTCATGAGGTCAAGGTTTTTTCGCAGGTGGACAGTAGTTCAAAGTTTTCTCACTTTGCGGCGCTACTATACATGTGAAACTTTTGCATATAAAATATCTCTAGATCCTTGTAATAATATAGATAGATATAAAGTAAATGTATCGGGCAAAGTTTTCAGAAAGTCAGATCTTTTTGTTGGGTGACAATAGTTCAGAATTTTCTCACTAAATGCAGCGCTAGTATATACGTGCCTTTCTCGCATATTCAATAGCTCGAGTTCTTGATCAGCTAGAAAGTTGCTGTCTTCGACAAAGTTGTTAAGGAGATAAAGATTTTTTGGCTGGTAAACAGTAGTAGTAGTAGTAGTAGTGTTCTAGCGCCGCGTAGTGAGAAAATTCTGAACTACTTTCCATCAGCCAAAAATACTTGACCCCCTGAACAAGTTTGCCGAAGACAGTAACTTTCTATCCGGTCAGGATCTCGAGCTATTGTATATGCGAGAATTGCACGTAAACACTAGCGCCACGTGGTGAGAATTTTCTGAACTACTCCACCAACGAAAAGATTTTGACTTCCTGAAAAACTTTGCCGAAGACAGTAACTTTCTATCTGGTCAGGATCTCGAGATTTTCCATGTTGAAACCAATTAAGCCAAATCCCACGTAGTACGGACACCGTTTACGCGGTTTCCATTCACATTTTCTCTATTATCCGCATTTTTTGGGGGCTAACTGTGATAAAAATTTAGCTTGTTTAGTTAAAAACAAGTTTTTTTTAGGAATAACCGGTGGTTTCATATCGATCGGTAGCTCGGCTGCAAAATGGCAATAGAAAACTCACACTGTTATATAAAGTACAACGCGCGAATACTCGTGTTACAAAAGTTGGCGCGAGTAACGGAGGGTTAAGATCGAAACAAAATAAAATAGAAGCAAGCAATATTTTGTTTTCACTTATTTACGTTTGCTTTATAGTGCACCCTATACGCATCAATATATTGATACGAAGGGGAATTATTTACAATAATATTGATGATTTGATTAAAGAAATATTGACGGCAATGTAATGACAATACGATTATTGTCAATAAAAGCAATCATGTAGAGTCCACTTGAGGTAAAATATTGACAAAAATATTGTAAATACTGCGCTGGTTCACTAGCTCAACCAACTAAACCAACTAGCACGAATTTCAGTTGCTCCTGAAATCTCATGCCGGTAGGTGCTGACGCCCTGTTTACATTATGCTGGCAACTTTTGACGAAGACTACGTCTTACGGGAAGGTACAGAAAGGTAAATCGAAAATCGAAAATGCGACCGTCACGAAAAGGAGTTAAGTTTTGAACGCTTATAACTTTGTCATTTATATATGAAATTAAAATCCAAACCCACCAATCGGTAGGAAATAACTCTTAGAATCTGCTACAAAATCGTGTATAACGCATTTAGCAGGTCGTGATAAATTTTGCTCATACAGTATTGTCTGTTGCAGTGGTGATTGGATTTTTGGGAATATTTTGAGTCGCACTTTGATGGTACGCTGACGAAAAACAACGAACTTTTTGGTTATTTCACGCCTAGAACGCTATTGAGTTTAACACATTTGGAAACAAAAAAGGTGTACCATTTGAATTTAAACACGTCTCAAAATCATTTTCAATCTAATTCATACTTGGAAAACCATATAATTGTTCACAAATAAGTAATTTAGAATTGTTTGCAAAATTGCAAATATTTTGCAAAATTATTTTTACACGTGTTTCGAGTAGAATGCAATGATAGTGTAAGATCTTGAAATCAAAACAACAACAAAAACCAAAACAGACACTTTGTTGTTATTTTGATTCCGAACAAAAATCAACCACTTTGACAACTCTATCTGTCATACGCATGGCCCGCACTTATTTCATCCCCGCACTTTCAAAGTGCGGAGTCCAGTAAGGTGCAAAATGCGCAATACTACTTTTGACTGATTTGTCTCCTTTTCTCCTTCTAATGTAGTCGAAAACGGAGGAGCAAAACCACCCAACAGGGGTAGTAAAGTGTGGGAACCAAACGTTGACTATAATCATATTTAACTACCAAAAAACAACTTACTTTTGCGTAGAAAGCTAGTGGAAAATTCCATACAAATTACACATAAGTAAATGAAAATTACTTTGACTCACTTAACCTACTTTTGAGTTCCTGCACAATAGTGCCGAGATGAGTGATAAGATCTTACTTTTGGGTACACACTTAGAAATAACTTATTTTACACGAAACGTAATCCATATTGGACGTAAATCATGGAACTTAAACAAGTATTTCATGTAAAATTAAGTGTTCCCAAACACTTAATTTAAACAACTCGACGAAGAGAACTTTTGATTGAATTGATTTTCTCGTTTCTTTTAACTGATGATTATGTCAAAAGGGCCGCTTACATGTGTCGGTCTCAGGGAACCGAAATTTACACGTCTTTTTCGTAGTGTGTAATTTTATTCTTACCGTGTAGGGACCCCAAGGAATGTGTAAAAAATATAAAAGGCCATAGATGCATCTAAATTCAATGCATTAGAAATATTTGTTCAACAATGAGTATGAAAAATAGACATTTTTCAAAAATTCGTTCCCAGGTTTTTCAGATAAATTTCATACAGTTTTGTATAAATGATAAGACTTTTCAAATAAAATAATAACTTTATTGTTTGCTGAATCTATGAGTCCAATGGAATCTACCAAGACCTATAAAATAATCTTCCGAGGATTATGATTCTGAAAATAGTTGCTTTTCAACGACAGTCCGATGTATTTGGTATCAATCAACCGCAATCCACAAACCGTTACCAACCTAGTGATTTAGAACAGCCCATTTCAACCCGCTTTTCCTTTTCTCTTCTCATAGGTCCAAGAAACGGAAGGTGCCACCCTCGCCGCCTCGCATGCCATCGGCTTCTGCGAGGTTTCCGTCGCCGATAACTCCCCCGCCCTGTACAAAGCCTTCGAACGGTTACTAATCGAATCCCGTGCCCGTCCCGTCAAGCCTCGAAAGTTCTCCGTCAGTAAAATGTTTGGTAAGTGCTTCCGTCCAGTGCCGTAATCGAATCATCAAATTAATTATTCTGCTCTCTTGCTCCCAATAGGTACCCTCATCGGTAACAACGGCACCCGACAGCCTTCGACCGCGGTGAGCCAAGGCACGGTCGTGCCGTGCCACAAGGGAGAACTGCACAAGTCCCGGGTGATGAAACGACGACAGGCATTTACCGCGACGGCATCGCTATGACCGACATCGACTACGGCCGAGGACAGCAACTAAAGAGCAGTCGCGTGTGGCGACCACTTCATCTACTACTGTCGGTCACCTACTCTTGTGTGCATCTGATGAAAGCAGCGAAGAGAAGGTAGTATTAGTATAGTAGCAGAAGCGAGCAGCAGCAGCAGCAGCAGAGTCGTTTATAACATACACTTCATTGACTGACTGAAAATTTGGCCGGTCTGCGGCGTCGGAATGTGGCTGAACGCAAGCGACGACATCATGCCGCCGTGAGCGGCCCGGGTCAGCGTCGGTGAAATGAACAAAATGTGATTTTAATTTTAGCATTCTCTCAAATCCGCTGAAGAGCACACTTACCAAACACTATACTGTAGGTAAAGACCGTCTTACTCATCATCTCCTCAAACTCTGTCGGTACTTATCCTAGGTAGCATCTTAAGCCATCACGTGTACTCGCGTGGTACTACTTGTACTTGTATAGATCGGAACTCTCTTTATCGTTTTAGATGAGGAGGTGTTTAGTTAGTCCTAATTATTCATTGTAAACCACAGGTCAGGAAAACAACGGCAATGCTAGTGGGAGCAAGCGGGTGGATCATTAAAGAGCTTTGAAAAGCCAATCACGGCGACACACCCCTCGAACTTATTTTTTTTTTGCGATGCGGGAAAATACGGGACACAGTTCACATCCTAATTATCGTTCCCCAGTGGGCAAGCCATAGTGTCGACCGAACGACGGGAAAATTTTCCATGGCTTTTCGGTGCGACGTAGCAAGAAATGATTGGTCCTGGCAGCAGCACACCCCTGGTACCGGCCTCCAAGCGATGTTTGTCTTTCGATTAATTGATTGTTATTTCGCTGTCGATGTCGCGCTCTGTGTGGCACCAACCGCTTGGGTTGGCAAACAGAATATCGCATTTCCATCACCTCACCACCCACCGAAGACAAAGACCGACCGTGTGGCGGCATTATCGATGAAGCGTCAGGCGCGTACTCAGGAGGTGTGCAAAATTGCAAATGCCAAATTAGGATTTATTGTGTTGTAGTTAATGCCGGGAAAACCCTGCACGCTTCTGGTAACGAGCGCGATAACTGCATGCTCATAAACTACAGCGACTGCTCCGGTCCCACTAGCATCCGTAGGGAAATACCCGCCAATCCCTCTGGTTAGCAAAAGTAGGAACCCCCGACTCAACACGCAATTAAACAATGTTTAAATTACATACACAAACACGCTAGAGCAGTCGATTTGCACACACTTTTGTAAACCTACTTAATTGTTTCGGAAAGTTTTCCTGCAGCGGCAGCATCATCATCATACACAATAACGCCTGAACGGTTTCCGTGAAATTGATTGCCGTATTACTATGTACTACCGATCCCAACCAGCAAAGTCCGTAGCCAAGGCCGTACAAATCGCTCCAGGATACAGAAGCTTTTTTTTCCGAACGGCCTATCTAGCTTGTAACTTGTAGCCAAGGAAACAAAACACCCAAATTTGTGAGTGGGTAGACAGCGGCGCTTTTGAGAAGACTAGGAAGCCAAAGCAAAACGGTAAACAAAAGTTGTACATCTTAAGATCATCTACCGTTGAACCGCTACCAAGATGGATGGATGTATAGGTGGCACAGTAGTTACTCACGGTTGCCATTAATGTTCATGAAAAGTTCACTATTTTGCCATAAACAGTGCCAAGACAAACAAACAACGGACGGATTTGGATCTGTTCCATACGACCGAAAGGTGTATGCTGGCCACAATTGCCTTGCCAAATTGATTTCCTACACAAGTGTTTAATCTTTGATGTGAATTTTGCGAAACACTAGGGGCATTGGTTATAGCTAAACTTGCCATATACAATCGTCGTAGTTCATTTTAGTAAACAAACTAACACTTCTTCTTTGTATTAAGTGGCTAGGAACCGTCCGTCCAATTTTCTCATCGCATCGCATTTTCGTCGCCGTTGGGAATTGGGAATTTTGAATTCTACTGAAAGTTAAAAAGTTTTAGCCTTTGAAGCCGAAAGTACTACGCAGCGACGTCACAGACAATTAATCCTCTTGGGATGCGGTGCGTGTCTTGAGTTTGAACATTTGTTTGTTTCTGAAAATTTCGTTAGGTAAACACTGTTAACGCAGAGGGCGAACAGTTTTCCACCAAACTTCATGGGAAATTGCAATTCATTGTGTTGGCCTTTTCATGCTCAAGACCACTAGATTTTAAATCTGAAGACAAATGAAATTAATTGGAGCGGAGAACACCTTCTGCAAAACATAGCGCATAAAATGAAATTTCCCAGAATTACTTACATTATCGACGCCTATCGCTACCAGCTAATCGAACAAGAAAAGTTTAAATGCCAAATATGTTCGCTCACACATTAGCAAATTGCTGCACGCCTCTGCTTAAAATTATCTGTTTTCACGACGCAATGGTTCCCGCAGTCGTGAATATTGGCTTTTCACAATTTATCGGAGCCTTTAACGGTTGGCAAGACTTCTAAGGAAGTGTTTCCTAAATTAATACCTAGTCTGAGTAGAGCACTGTGGAACATAATTAAAATTGATCCTTTTATCCACTATTTGTGACAGCCAGCGTAGAGCATTCCAACGAATTCAAAGTCTATAATTTGAACATTGAACTTAATTATCAAAGCTGCAAATAAGCAAGCATTGGAGAATACATTCACTCGCAAGACCACAAAACTCGGTTGCTAAGTGACTCTACACCTTCACTCAGAGCTGACAACAGCATAACCACCGGTTGGAAACTAACGATTTAAAATTGGCTCACTACTTGACTAGCCTATTGGTCCCAAGTACATCTATAATCATTTATATTCTAGTCGAAATTCTAGTACTACACTATGTTTGTTTTGATTCGCTATGAAAGTTTTACATCAAATTTGGGGAAAAAAATTAGAATAACTTACAGGTCAAAAACTGTTTTCATAATTGATTTTATTCAGAAACATTAAATATTTCAGCAAATACATTAGTTAGAAAGTTATACTTCAGTAAAGTTGTTTATATTAATGATCTCTACCACTTTGCTGAACACAACAAGCCTCTAGCTCACATTTTACAAAAAATCATTTGTCCATCTCACTTGTAGGGGGATTAATCGCTTAACTGCTTATACCCTGGGCGATGCGAAGACAGACCCCAAAATTGAACCCATCCCGAGCTGTCAAATCGAACCAATCGTTTACTATCCCGGTATGATGAAACAAATACAAGTATTGCAGTCCTTCAATATTAAACATAATCAAGCTCACCTCGAATGGGAAAATTCATTTACTCGCGCCACAGAAACTGAAATCCTCACCTACAAAAAGATTGCCGAACGAGTGTAAATTCGACAGTGAGCATGCATAAGGGCCTATACGCGATGATCGATTCTCTTCGTCGATTTTCTCTTTTGTTAATAACTCGCTAGATTTAACGTTTCTCGTTGCGTTTGCTGTTGCTTTTGATAGCCAATACAACCTGTTACTACTCTGCATTGAACAAATTCTAGAAAATTGTTTCGCTCAGCTGTAGCAATGCAAAGAGAAAGTCGATGAAGAGAATCGATCATCGCGTATTCGCCCTTATGAATGCTCACTGTCGAATTCTTCACACCAACTGACTCTGCAAGTAGACTCGGAACTGACAGCAGTAGAAGGAATGAAGGAAAAGCTGAAAGGCAGCCAAACAAGTTTCTGTACCGAGGGAGAACCCGATTGAAAGCGTTAAAACCGGACGCTAACGATTTAAATAACCGAGTGATATATTTTTTAGCTCAGTGATTTAAATCAGTTGAATTGACCACAGCAGTTTTACAGTATTTGCGTGATGCTTACGTTTATGTGTTACAGTATAATAATAATAAGTGAATAATATTCCACACCACTACACTCAAAATCAGTTTAACAGTTTGCATGCATAAGGGCGTATACGCGATGATCGATTCTCTTCATCGATTTTCTCTTTGCATTTTCTAGAATTTGTTCAATGCAGAGTTGTAACAGGTTGTATTGGCTATCAAAAGCAACATCAAACGCACTGATAAACGTTAATTCTAGCGAGTTATTAACAAAAGAGAAAATCGACGAAGAGAATCGATCATCGCGTTTACGCCCTTATGCATGCTCACTGTCAAGTTCTGTGTTTAGCTCGATTCTGCATTCATCAAAAAAAAAATAGAATCAATGAGAATACGCACAACATCAGTGCGGCTCGCACAAGCTACTACTCGTTTCTGATGTTGCATGCATATGAGTAAGTAATAAATGCACAATGAAACAATTTTTCCCATGCTTGTCTCTAATCAGTCTATTTAAGGGGAAGCTTACCGGCCCGAAAATAAAAAAAATAATTTCAATAAATTTTATTTTTCTAAAAATATTGGAAAAAAATATAAAAAATCCAAGAAAATTAGTTTCTTCCCTAGATTTTTTTTCAAAAATTACATGTAAAAATATTTTTTTCTATCTCATCATGAAAAAAAAATTGGACTCTCAGCAAAACCGAAAAATCGATGTTTTGTGGTTTTTTGAGTCCAACTTTATGCCATAATAACTTATACAAAATGGTTTTGCACGTGAATTTTCTTTGAAAAATTAGACAAAATGTGATTTTTTAGATTTTTGATATCTTTTTCCAATATTTTTAGAAAAATCAAAACGTAATTATTTTTTTCGGAGCGGTGAGCTTCCCCTTAAGATGGGATGTAGTGAAAATGTATGTCTCACTTTTGCATAGACATCAAAATATTTTTTTTATTTTTTTTTCATCCAAAATTTGTTCATTTTTCCCAAATTTACGAACGTAAACGAACAATCGAAGAGTCACGCAAAATGCAGTTTGGCGGCACTGCTGTGCCAACCGATGGCTATGAACCGACTATATTAGCGTTGCCATCATTGAACAAAAAATCACTTTGCATCACCCATCTTATAGCATACCATGTATGCCAAGAAACATTCCTCAAGACATCAAGCTTCTACATTCAACCATTTCAGCGCAAATAATAAAAACACGCGTTTTGATATCCCTGGCACCACTGCACGTACAGTGGACAAAAATCGACAAAACCGCGACTAAATTGAATATCTCGACTGACAAACGGTTTCAGTCAACATGTTATACATACACACTTAAAAATAACTAATTTTACACGAGACGTAATTCATCTTTGACGTTAATTATGGAACGTAAACAAACATGTCAGGTAAAATTAAGTGTTCCCAAACAGAAACATACGCAACTCGACGAAAAGTACGATTGATTCCGGGATGAACCCGAGTTCCTGAAAAATAGGAAATGCCGCTATCTATCGACATAATTTTACATCTTGATTTAGACATATTACTGGAAATTGATAGTACTTAATATATATGGTGCAAAGGGCCATACCATGGTTCTCCGGATAATCTGGTAAAGTGGCCACATTATTAATGTCCTAGAATATTGCAGTTTTTTTCTATTTCGTTCAGAATCACGAGATCAATGCGTATTTAACATGGCATTGATTTTTTGGGATAAAGTAGCCATATCCTGATTCTCCTGGTAATCCGGGTTGACCGATAAAGTGGCCTGTTTATAAAAATTACCTTGAAGCTTGTGACTTTTTTCTATAATGTTCAGAATCACGACATCAATGCGTATTTAATATAGAATCGATATTTTGGGGTAAAGCGGTCATATCCTGGTTCTTCGGATAGTCTGGTAACCGTAAAAGATGTAATAACATGTAAACAGTCCTGGGCTCGGGAAACTGCGGAGAACAAGAGAATGTTATCAACACGCTATTTTGAGGCTACTCATTTTTGAGTCGAAAATCACTCAGTCCAGCCAACTTACCCAAAAATGGGTAAACAGGCTTTTACTCAAATTTTAGTAAACGTGCCTACGGAGGAAACTGGGTAACGGTTACTCAGATGATGACATTTGTCAACTGAGTAAACCTTACCCATTTCGATAGAAACGAATGAATGCCCCATGGATGCTTTATATATGACTAACTGAGTGTGCCTGGCCTTGCTATGGATTAAATATTAGCTTGAGTTTATGCACCGATTCCAAAATCATACTATATTTTTCTGTTTCATTTGTATGGAGAGAGGTCTCGAACCATCATAAGAACCTTTCCCGTACCAAAAAACCCCTGCATACAAATTTTCACGCCGATCGGTTCAGTAGTTTCCGAGTCTATAAGGGTCAGACAGACAGACAGAGATTCATTTTTATATAGGAAAAATGGCTCTAATGTTGGCCTATGGATTTAAGATTGGGCCCATCACTACAAAATCTGCTATTTATCAATTTTATCTAGATGAACGCGTCATTGGGACGGTACTAATGGATATTTTTGGTCACTATTGAAAATTTAGTCGATTGCTGAATTTACGTATGGGCCCAAATTAGGGGCATTTAGGCCGACATTACATCCATTTCCCCTATATACATTTATTTCGTCTAGGACGAATATTAAAAAAATATTATGAAAATAATAATTCTGTATTTATTGATACCAACGAACTATGTAAATGAGTGTTGTATACCTCACAAACTAGCTGTGGATATCTTTCGCCGGCTATTGTGTAGCTGCTCCATTTTCACTGCTTCAATTCTAGAAACTAATTTTAGACTCACTGCGCAAAAATCGCCTGTTCACCACTTCAAACTGCACCATTTTGCAGTTAGGAAAAATTGATATCAGAAACATTTTCCCAGAATCTGGGTGGATTCCACTCATCGGAGCAAAACCAGTTTACTAATTTTTTGACAACTTCATACAGCATGCAAAAATGAGTGCGATCCATCCAGTCACTGAGTAGCTTCACAATAGCCTGAAGTCAAAATTTAAATTCACATTCTTTGAGGTTGCCTTGATTTCCAGCTAATTGAGTGTAGAAGAAATTATTTTATCAACAATAGTTTATTATTAAATTGACCTTCTTTGTATGATTATGGTGGTCCTAATTTTAACATGAATCAGATATCAAACTTTTTGTTTTAATAGGAGTTTTCATTCTTTAGTTAGTTGATAGAAAAAGTTATTTCAAGCAACTTTTCTCAAGACATCATTAAACTACCTCTTCACTTGACCATGCAAGAACTAATTTTTCCACTTTATACTAAAGTGTCTCTAAAATATCGTTTTTTTTTTTTATATTCTAATTTTTTTGTTTCAAATCCTTCGAAAAAGTGGTCTATAGAAGAGTTGTAGGAACAATAATGGTGCACAGTTTTACTGCACAAAGAATGGGGTATGACTAAACATTCAAAAGTGATGGATAACTGGTTGTACACAGTTCAAAAAAGTAGTGTAAATTTCTGTTTCAATATGATGCACAATAAAAGGAGCGTCACATCTCATCTAAGTTTACATTATAAATCGTGTAAAATTCTGAGACATTTCATGAAATGTTGCAAATATTGTATACAAAAGCCCATATTTGTAAACAACATTGCTTACAAGTTGCTCGTTTGCGTGAAATGAAATACAAGTTTACGTGAATGAATGTTAATAATGTAAATAATTCAGAATTTTTTGCTGTGTACAACATGCAGTTTCCGAATGTTAACTATTTCAGATAATTGAATAGATAATTGCATTATTGATACGCTTTCTGAAAGGTCACATAACGCAACATTTTAAGGTAAAAACTGCGAGAACAAACTTTATTTTAAAGGAGTAAATATGCTTTAAACATATAGCAACTTGCAGTCTTGTGCAAAAATGTAAGCTGTAGCTTGTTCTATTAGTCTTCGTTACATTACTTTTTAACGAATTGTAAATCTAAAAAGTTAGAATCAAAAACTGATGTTTGTAGAGGCATCCTAATGAAAAGCAGCAAATAAGCTCAAGCATGGTCAATTAAATAAGGATTCATGAAAGACCTATTTTGGTCGACGAGAGGGCGCGTCTTTGGATGAGTCTTCACCGTTTTTGATTGATGAGAGAGTGTGTCTTTGGAATACTTCATTACTTTCCCATAATAATGAGGTACTATTACATGCACTAAACAAAGGACACGGACATATCACAAAAGATCAATGTATTGGTAGTATTCGTAGAACAAACTTCGTGATGATGAATAATGGTCCAAATTCAAGTTTTTCGGCGTTAATAGTTATTGAATATGAAAAATCCAAAAGTTAAAATTGATCATAGTGGCGTATACGCTACTTTGCTGTCACACGGCAGTGTACGGCTTTTGGATGTTGATATTTGATGGGGTGTAGCCCTTAAATTAAGCTCAATATGGTTTCTACTGTTTTTACTATTAGCAAAAACGTTCGTCAGGTATTGGCTTGAACCCCGATTGATGGAAATAGGTAACAGAGCAACAAAACTCACATGACCAACGCAAGAACAAACCGTTCACATCAAGGTTGCAAATACTCATCTCAGCTTACCCTGCTTAATCGTAATCAGTGTTGGGAATATATAAAAAAAAAAATCAAATGTCACCAATGCCCAAGATCAGGCTTGAATCTCGTAGATAAAAATCAACAAGCAAGCGACTGCAGATGATATTAAACACGAACGCGACCTGAAACTGCCATCACTGCCGGCAGCAGTAGCTTCGTGTCTGTCATAGCAGCAGAGTAAAGAGCTGGGGGGGGACGTGCTGTCAAATCAGCCTACTGATCATTCTTGTATGAAACTGGTTCCAAAGGTAAACAAACGCTGTAGGTTTCTTATGGCTTGTTTACGTTTGGAACCAGTTATCCCAGTTATGCGAGGTAGGCGACGATTGTTCGTATTTGACAGCCACCTCCCCCCCTTGGTAAAGAGAGATAGCAAACTATACCTCTCTTTAAAAAAAAAAAAACGATGTGCAGTGGAATCATTTTGTGTCTCAGCATCATTTTTACACGTTGTGAATAGTCTCGCATAGTCAAATATCAAAGGAACTTGTAAAATCAATATTAAGCATGATATTTTTTTCCATCATCACGCCGTATAATCGCGTGTCTGATTGTCGAGGGGCAATTGTTCTCGTAAATAGCAAGGGTAATCGTATAATGTGCGACCGTTTTCAATGCTTACTCAAAAAGTTGAAATCAGGTCATTATGACTAAACTTCATTTTTGCGTGGTCAACAACTCACAAAGTGACGGCTTGACCAAAACAGCAAACGAAATTATTTATGTCAGGGACATGAAGAGGGTGACTGAACTATGTTTGTTGCTATGAAGGTCATTTTTTGGCAAATAAAAGCAATCAAATGATGTTAATAGATTTTTGCTAGTTTCTAGTCAAACAAATTCAATTCCAATAAATGATACCCTATACGCACATTGAGATGCTTTATTTCCATGTATTACTGTGACG